GATTTTTGCTTACTCAAACTTTTCAATGTGACGATTATGGTACACAATAGCACAATCTCGTTGTCATTACATGACAACTGGCTTCCATCTCAATTTTAGTTTTTTATTTGTAAAGTATCTCAAACAACGCTTAACCAACGTGCAATTTCCTAAAAAAATAAACATTATACTAAATACAATTGCAATGGGCTTTCTCGACTTATTTAGATCTAAAAAACCATATGCTTATCACTTTGTGAATACGCATTCAGACGTCTCTGCATATAGAAATAAGTTTGCCTTCATTACAACTTTACATTGCTTTGTAATAACTTAGTTTCTGTTCGTTTCAGAGACTGCTATAAACACCTTTTAGCTACTTTTTTCTTTAGTACGGGTTTAATTTTGGTTTTTGTGAGTCCCTTTGTTTCAACTGGTAAAACCGTGTCATACAGTGAACGCTCATAACTCTATATACTATTATAAATACCATTACTTTATTGTCTACCTTACGTGTAGTCTTATTAAGTAAATTACTTCTATTTTAGTTTATGTGAACGTGTAGATGTTTTCAAATAGACAATAATTTACTCATCTAACACATAAAACCTGCAAGAACGCGTAGCTTAAATGCTGTGCGTGAAATGATAGAATAAGGAAAATTCAAGCGAAGGGCATGAAAATTATCGCAAATGATTTGTGGATCGTGGCTAGTATTCAATATATGAGTTATTATTGATTTTATAAAGTTTATCTTTAAATACTTTTATCAAACAGAACTTGAACACGAGTTACTTTTCTGTCTAGAATTCTGTTGGTCTTTACATATAATACTTATATTTTTTTTTTACCCAAAACGGTTATAAGCCTACAGACTTGTTGAAGAAAATTTTAAGTTACAAACAGTCAGGGAATCCCGGAGTTAGTTTATTGATTATTGTTTTCTTAAACAGATAACTTCTTTTATTAATGTTATTTTTATTAGAAATATAAGCTACTGTGTGTTCGAACTACCGATATCGCTGGGTTCCTGAATATTAAACACAATAAAATGTTTAGTGTAGGCGAGAAATCTGTTAAGGTGGTGTCTACAATTACTTTTACAAACAAAACGATCATTAATAATTTACCAAAAACGAATTTTTGGTAAAAAAAAAAGTCGTGCGTTATTAATTTTCCAAAAATAAATTCCACAGTTAATTAGAAAAAACTGTGGGTTAGTAGTTGACCAAAAACAACCTTTGTAGTAAAATTTTGAAGAAAGAAAGTTTTATAATATTTTTTTTAAAAGAAGTCGTGGGTTAGTATTTCACCAAAGATAAATTTTGCGGAAGAATAGTGTTGAGGGCGGGAATGCATAAGACTCCGTGTTTCTATAAGACAGTGAATTTGTTTTAACATTGAATGATTGCAAACTCTGGTTAAAAAAAAAAAGCAATAACATTCCTTGAGCTAGCATATAATTGTTTTAAAATCATCAAAAGCAGTTAAAATAGAAAGTAGTAAAAAAAATACACAGTTGTAGTTTCGAGTTAACTTGGCTAAAACGTCAACTTCTCTTTTACAGGATACATTTTCACTTCGTTTTATCTTAATTGTTTTTACTGATTTTAATTTAATCATTAGGACGATTGTAAATATTTATATTAGAGATATATGGATATTATTTTTACATTTTATTGTTTTGATTGATTAGTAAGTTTGTGTATTTGTTTTCCTCATTGCTATCTGTAACAAAATGAATGGTTTCAAAGTACAGAAATAAGAAACTTCGAACTTACTCTTCGTATTTATTCATGTGCAATTTATTCTGTAAAAAAACAAACAAAAAAAAACGATTTTTTACAGTAAATCAAGAGTCACCATAACCAAGAAATTATACACATGAAGTTGTAAGTTAGCCGTGTTAGGATTGTATGTTTTGGCTATATGCTCTGTCTCAGATTTTAGCGTTATAAGTTCATAAACTTACCGCTGACCTACCGGGGGACGTTGTGCTAGGAAATGACGAACCTTGAAGGATTTTGTTTGTTTGTTGGTAAGCGCAAAGCTGCACAATGGGGTATCGGTGCTATGCTTACTGCAAGTATCGAAACTCGTTTTTTAGCGTTATAAGCCCTCAGACTTACTGCTGAGCCACCGAGAAACACGTTAAAGGAATAGCTCTATTTTCATGGCTGTAACCTAAATTTTGAAGAAATAACCTTACTTTTTTTTCACAGTTAGAAAATCGGTATTAAAGATACATTCGGAGCATTATCATTAAAAAAACATGCTAAAAGCTTATAATTAGTGCAAAAAACGAACCTTATTGGATGAATATAGACAATAGCACATTTCCTGTATCATACACAGTCCTTCAGTGCAACAAGTTGATCTGTTTTTATACAAATTTACGAACTGAATCTTCAGTAACGTTTATATTCAGTTCTAAGTAAGTACTGTCTATTAGTTATTTAGCTTGATCTAACTGTAGTCCAGCGCTAAACCGATTAGGCTTAGAAAAACACTAAGTAGCGGTTTTTTTTATTAGGTTGACCGAATTGTAGTCCAGCACTAAACCTATTAGGTTTAGTAAAAACACTAGGTAGTGTGATTATTATATAGCTTGGTCTGATTGTAGTCCAGCGCTAAACCGATTAGGCTTAGCAAATTATCTAAAAACACTAACTGTGAAAGCCTTTTATGAACTTTTTTCAGCTTCCTAGACAACTTTACGTTGGTTTCGTAGTTCGGACGGCTCTACACTTACAACTACACCTTCTAATATACGTTTAGATACAACTTGTATATATTTATTAGCATGTAAAAACAAAATGAATATATGATCAATCAAAATCACCACCGAGAAATCATTCTTTATGGATGTTTAGAAGTTCCAGTAAAATTTTCACTTCTTAAATATTTGGGGCAACGTCATTTTCTTTTGAAATTCCACAGTCTAGTTGATTTATATTCCTCAGACTACTCCAATCTATCCCCTTCTTGCTGAGATTCTTATAGATGGCGCCCAATAAATCGACAGTCAGGTATTTTTCTCGTGAAAGAATCCATAACTTTTCTAAAAATTATGAAAACTCACTAAATCAGTAGTTAGTTTTTGTTAAGTACATAAATATTTTCCTCTGTTGTCTCGATTCTACTCAATAACGAACATGTAAGATTTTTTATTGATAACTTTTTCAAGTAAGTTGAATTTTAAAATTGTAAGGTCAACTCAAGATTTTCTCAAAAATAAATAATAAATTGACAAGTCGATTTGCCTATTATAAATTATAGATTTAACCGTGCTTATTTCCTTATACTTATTCTTTACTGAATTTTCTTTTTGTACTTAAGGATATACTTCCAACCACATTACCTACACTAGGTGTGATTATTCATTAAAGTAGCTAGTGATAAAACGCTGATGACAATTTTCATAATTAACCAGTGGCTATTTACAGAACTACCACTAAGGGTACTGATCAATGACTATACCCTGATTTTTATTTATCATGCTTACAAGTCACTGTATACATTAATAACATATGTTATGCTGCTAAAGGACTAGACGTTAATTTCATACACTGGTCAGTGGTTAATACTTATGAAATGTGGTTCTTTATATTTTGCATAAGAAGTTGAGTTAGTGAAATTTTAGTAACTGAGTTGGTGTCTTAATTTACTTTTTTCCTTCACAAAATGAGTCAGGAAAGGTTAACTTCAAGTAGCTGGATGGTTTATATTGTTGCTTTACGGTTTAGTTTACCTCTGGTTTGTACTTTTTATAATTGGTATTTTATTGTAGACTAGAAGTGTACCAGTTGGTGTACTTTACACATGGCATTAGCTAGCTGTGAGGTCACCGTTAAAATGTGAAATTAAACGTAGCGTACTATTTAATTTTACACCCATATGGAACAGTTATACAATATGTAAGGCTGACCCTACCTACGCGCTTGTCGATGGTTTGACCTCTGGTGAATTTTCACTTAGCTACGGCCATGCTTTCAGTTCTGTACTAAATTTTAAATTTCTAAATTGTATAATTAACGGGAAGGGACTTAAATACTATTAAATGAATTTAAGCAAATATACGGTATGTAGTTTTAGTATTAAAACTTGTAATATGTCTTGGATTTTCTAAACGTAACTCTTAAGGTAAAACAGTTTCACTTTATCGTTGTTCAGAAAAAAAAAAGATACATTTTGAATATTACAAAAATAAGTTGGACTTATATTTTCTGTAACTATATTGTACTTACAAATTATTATGCATCATACTGACCAGAATGGAAAAATCCAAAAGGTCCCATGTTGAAACAAGACCAAACGACAGCGTAACGATTGTAGTCGGTATCCAATATCCAGTAGTTAACAGGGATTGACGGCGCTATAATTAAGAAACACAATGAAGTTTGTATGTAGATTTATTAATTGTTTTAGTTATTATAAATAATAGAAGTCTCACTTCAATACTTATTTCGTTAATAACGAAAGTTGTTAAATTAACTTTTAAATAGGTCAGGAAACACTAAAAAGTTCGAGCGATATTTTTAAATTTACTTATTTGTGAATAGTTTTAATTAACCTTTGCTGTACTCACATGTTTCAAATTCGATCACCATCTTAGCTGGTTCCGAAAGTTTTGCCACAATGGCTCGCCCTCCAATACTTTTTGATACACCACTGAAAAAAAAAAAAATATTGTGATATTTATTTATAGACAAAAGAAAAAAAAGAATTCAATTTAATGATCGGTGTGAGACATCTCTTGGTGACTTCGGTTGCTTTATTAGTTTTTACCAACTTCTGTTTTTTGTAAAATTAATTTAAAATGTTGGAAATTCTGAACTTAATGATAGTTTTCTCGGACAACTTTCCAACGGATGTTTTCTTTTTTCCTCCAAATAGTTATTGCTTTTTCAAATTAGTTAGGGTACTCTAGTTTTAAATACAGTTTCTGCGACTGAATGGATTAAGGCCATGGTTAACATAAGAGTAAACTCTGTTTTTATTCTTCTCCCTCGTTATTGTAACAAAAAATGGAACTTCTTTTGGAACTAGGAATATCGTGCTTAGTATTTGCCTTTAAATTAAATAAATAAAAAAGACATGTCACAAAAAATATACAAATTAAGATATAATTAGAGATTATTTTTCTTTAATAGGCTGTACAGAAACACTTGGTTTTGTTTTGTGATTTTTCCCCCTGTTTTTCAGGTAGTAAATATCAGATGCCTTTTTCCTTTTCATAAAAACTTCAAAATTAACTTTTGAAATTAAAATTAATTACAGTAAGAAGTAAATACCTGATATAACGAATTCTTGGTACATTTATGTTAATTATTACCACCATACAGACTCAGTGTAATGTTGAATCAACATATAAATATAAATTTACTCACTCCTTGTCCATGCCAATCCTTGTCAGGATAATCTTTCCATTTCCCACATTGTCATACTCGGCATTTACACATCTTAGATTTCGTTCAAAAAATGTGTACGTTTTTTGTACTTCATACCATTTCCCTAGAAACTGTAAAAAAAAAGAAACAGTTTGATATTTTTGTTTTACTGTTATTGTTCCATCTACGGAGCTCAACCAGTTAATTTCCTGTCTTTCAGAAATGTATGTGACACATAAAGTTCGAAGTTTTTGATAATAAAAAACCTTTTAATTAATGGCAATATTTTAATTAACTAGTGGTTAGTGCTTTGGGGTTGTTATCGAGACCCGGAATGGCCAGGTGGTTAGGGAGCTCGACTCGAAATCTGAGGGTCGTGGGTTCGAACCCCCGTCACACCAAACATGCTCGCCCTTTCAGCCGTGGGGGCGTTATATAGTGACGGTCAATACCACTATTCGTTGG